CTAGGTCCCCCAGGGTCTGCAATAGGTCTCTGGTCCCTTTTAGGCACTCTTCTCTGGTCTGGGATGCAACCAACAAATCATCTACATAATGTAAGAGCATTAGCTCAGGGTGCTTCTCCCGGAACTCACCTGGTCCTCATGGAGTGCTTCATCGAAGATAGTAGAAGAATTCTTGAAGCTTTGTGGGAGTCTGGTCCATGTTAGCTGTCCATTGATTCCCTTTTCCTTGACTGACCACTCAAAGGTAAATAGTGGTTGACTCTTGGGGACCAGGGAAAGACTAAAGAAGGCATCTTTTAGATCTAGTACTGTATACCATTGCCTTTCAGGTGGCAGGGAGCTTAGGAGGGTATACAGGGTAGGGACAGTGGGGTGAATGTCCATCACCCTTTTGTTCACCTCCCTCAGGTCTTGGACCAGCCGGTAACCATTGGACTGAGGCTTCCAAACAGGCAGAAGTGGGGTGTTCCAGGCCAACTGGCAAGACCTCAGGACCCCCGAATCTAACAGTTGCTGAATATGGGGGGTTATTCCTGCTTGAGCTTCCACTGATATAGGGTATTGACAAACCCTAGCTGGATCCGTTCTTGGCTTTAGTTCCACAAACACTGCTGTCCGGTGTTTGGCCAGACCCATACCTCCTGTTTCCGCCCATGCCTCTGGGTACTCCTTTAGCCAATAGTCTATATCCTGATTGCTCAGGACGGGTTGTTGATACAGTCTATATTCATCCTCTAAGGTCACAGTCAGTACCAGAATAGGCTTCCCCTGACCATCAGAGACTGTAGTGCCTCCAGGTTGAAAGTGAATTTGAGCTCCAATTTTGGTGAGTAAGTCTCTTCCCAACAGCGGGTAAGAGCAGTCAGGGATAACTAAGAACGAGTGGGACACCCGGCCCATGCCTGGTCCACTGTACTTCAGGTAGTCCATGAACATTTGTTAATCCCTGTAGCCCCCGGTATCCAAGAAGTCTTTTTAGATAATTTTCCTTGCGGCTCCGTCAATACGGAGTGTTGAGCTCCAGTGTCCACTAGGAATTTGATTGGAGTCCCCTCCACCTTAAGAGTTACCCTGGGCTCAGGTATGGAGCCGAACCCCGATTCCCTTAATATTCCTCTGTGTTAGTCACCAGTGCTGGGGTGTGTCTAGGGGGACGGGGCCCCAGCCCCATTTCCTTTTTCTTAGGGCACTCCCTTGCCCAGTGACCTGTCTCCTTCCAGCAAATACACTGGTCTCTACACAGTTGCGGGCCGATAGGTCGGCGCTGTTCCTGCTCTTTGTCTCTGCCTCAGTTCCCTGAACTTTGCCTCCTTTCCTTCTTTGTACTATTGCTACCAACACCCTTGTCATTTCCCTGGTGGCTTTTACTTGCCTGTCCTCAGGAGCATCCCTATTACTATAAACTCTCTGTGCTGTTGCCAAGAGATCCTGAACACTCTTACCCTCTAAATTTTCTAGCTTTTGTAGTTTCCTTTTAATATCTGGAGCTGCCTGATTAACAAAAGCCATTACTACTGCTGCCTGATTCTCCGGAGCCTCCAGATTCATTGGGGTAAATTGTCTAAAGGCTTCCATTAACCTTTCTAGGGAGCTAGCAGGTGACTCCTGTTTCCCTTGTATAACTGTATAAACTTTAGCCAAATTAGCTGGTTTTTGGGCCGGAGCCCGGAGACCCGCCATTAGAGTCTGGATAGACCCGGAGCCTCCCCCTACCTTCTGCCGTGTTGTGGTCCCACTCGGCTGCAGGCGGCCTGCTCAAGGGAAAAGCAGCATTAATCAAGTCAGGGTTGGCTGTAGGTTGCCCATCATCTTCAGAGACCAGTTTCCTGGTCTCCATCTGGATTCTTTCCCTTTCTTCCGTGGTGAAGAGTGTGCGGAGCAGTTGTTGGCAATCACCCCAGGTAGGCTGGGGAGGAAACAGAACACGATCCAGGAGAGAGATTACACTCTTTGGTTGTCAGAGTAAGGGGGGTTTTGATTCTTCCAATTGTAGAAATCCCTAGTGGAGAGGGGCCAGTACTAAGTCTAGGGTTCCCGGCCTCGTCAGGGGGCCCTATCTCCCTGAGGGGCAAGACCACGGTGGTGTCAGTAGAATGAGCAGGGGACAGGGCACGTTGGGCTCGCCCTCGGGTTCCCCCTGCTGGTCCTTCCAGTGCCCCATCTGCTCTTCTTGCTCATCCCCCCGCACCCCTCTCCTCCGGCCAGTTAGTGGAGTGCACATAGGGAGGGGGTTCGGATTCCAAGGATTCCGAGAGAAGCGGGTCGCCATCCCCTTGGAGGACTGGATATAGGGGGGCTGACGGTCAGGTAGGTCCCAGGGTTCGTGGCCCAGAATCGACCTCTTTTGCCACAAAAATGTCGGCCGCATGTGCCACTTGTAAAAAGGGAGTTAGCCAATTAGGGGGTCCGTGAGTAAGTCCATCCACACTAAGATATAGGGAATCTGATCTGGATGTCCCTCTTTTTTCAGGCGAAAAATCACATTCTTTATTCCAAGGAATGCACTTTTGTCAAAGGTCCCCTCCGATGCCCACCCTACACCAAAAATGGGCCACTCGGCGGAACACAGAGTAACTAGCTTTCTTTTCTTTCTCTCTATTCCCAAATTACATTCTCTTTCCCTAACCTCTGTAAAATGGTCAGTCAGTACAGTCAAGGAGTAGTCTGAGTTTGTCCCATGTCTGGGTGAAAAGAGAAAACAGCTACAATTATTCACAAAATCAAGATTGTAACACAGACAGACAGACAGCAAATGCCTCGAGTGACTGAGAGCACCCTGAGGCCGTTTCAAAGAGGATTTCAGAAGCCAGAGTATATCTTCCGCTGCCAGACTCCCCTGGTGGCTTACGACCTGTAAGAATTCTGAGGGGGGTTAGTTCCCTTGCCAGGGTGTTGGGGTGGAGGCGGACAGGACAATACAAACACAGATAACACAAAATCCGCACAGTGGCCACAGAATTCGCAGCGCATCGTGGATTGCTAACCAGAAACTAAAGGCACAGGCAGATGGAAGATCCGTCAGCTACAAAATACTTTACACAATATTTCACAAAATACTTTACTCTGGGGCTGGGGATGTGGCTCAAGCGGTAGCGTGCTTGCCTGGCATGTGTGAGGCCCGGGTTTGATCCTCAGCACCACATACAAACAGAGATGTCCTGTCTGCCGGAAACGAAAAAATAAATATTAAAAAAATTCCCTCTCTCTCTCTCTCTCTCTCTCTCCCTCACCTCTCTCTTTAAAAAAATACTTTACTAAAAGCAATCCACTCAGAACCCAGAAAGGGGCTGGGGTCGCCTCCCAAAAACCCCCTCGGCTGCCCTTCGGTGTGTCCACCTGGACCTTTTGCCAACCATACAACACAGAACCAGAACCTGCATGCATCCAGAGTGCAGAAACTTACAGATCCGCAATGCCTTTACTTACCTGCTGGGTTTTCATCACCTCTCAATTGGGGTGTCCGGGTCGGCTTATTAGGGGGGAAACCAAACAAGCCCCCATATGTTATGCTCAAATTTGGGACTCCCAAAAGACCACCAGAGACCTAGATCGATGTAAGCAGCAAAGAGGTGTCTATTTCGAGCTAGCTCAGTCTTCTGCACACACACACCAACTGGTGATGCTGAGAGGCCCTGAGCCCAGGGTTTGCAGCAGTTTTATACATTCTTTGGAGAAGGCAGGGACCTCCACATACGTCATAGCATCTCTTAGCAAATCATCACACATCGCGGGAAAATCAAACAACAACTCTAAAACATCATTAGCGTGTCAAGTGGCGGGAAAGAATCTGGAAAGAATTATTGGTTACTTCAAGGGGTTGACACACTTAAAATTGATTGGTTTAAACCCTGAGCATGTCGCAAGGGGCGAACATGCCAAGCTGCAGGGCTTCTAGTTTAGATATTGGTCAGCACACCTAGGTGGGGCCATCTGGAATTTCAGATATTTGGATGTCTTGGCCTATCTTAGGCGATCACCATCTGTGGCTTTCCTGAGAACTGTTTCCACAGAGCTTTTCTGGGGTATTTTCCTTGAGCCAGGATTTGGTCTAAGACCTTGATCCCCTGACACCCTCACTGGTGTCCAGTGAGGTGGCTGCTGGTACACCCACTGTGCAGATGAAACTGGCTCAGAGAAGTGGAGGCGCTCACCTCTGCTGGCAGCAGGACCCTTTCTGGTGCCCCTTCCTGCTTCCAGCATGAAGACCTGGACCTGGGCCTCTGCCCTTGTTGGAGACTCCTACCCCTCCTTCCCTCAGTTCCCATCACCATCTGCTCCAGACACCAATAATCCCATCCCACCCTTTCCACCACAGGACATCTAGACTCCCTGGCAGTGATGAGTGCGGAGAATTTTAGCCTGGATGATGATGATGATGATGATGATGATGATGATGATGATGATGATGATGATTTCGTGACGAGGGTTTGAACCCAGGGGCTCTTCACCGCTGAGTCACATCCCCAGCTCTTTTCATTTTTTACTTTGGGACAGGGTCTCATTCAGTTCTGAGGGCCTCACTAAGATGCTGAGGCTGATTTTGAACCTGTGTTCCTTCTGCCTCAGCTTCCTGGGCCACTGGGATGACAGGACTGTGCCACTGCACTCAGCTTAACCTGCAATTTGGCGACCCCTTAGGCTGGACAAGGAAAAACGTATGCAGAAATGAAATGAGCCAAAGCGGCAATCTATTGAAATGACTCAGGTGTAGCCAGCACAGGCCCTGGCTCACTACATGTCCTTAACAGATTCTGCTCCTTGGAGTGGTGGCACATATGGTTGCAGCTAGTTAGGGACACAGGAAGTGCTGAGTGCATGAACTTAAAGGAAGGGGCAGATGACCAGTGGGTGTAGCAGGAGGATCACTTGGGCTCAGGAGTTTGAGGCCAGCCTGGGCAACACAGGGAAACCCTGTTGCAAAATGAAGTGAGGTGGGGCGGGGATGGGGGCGGGGATGGTGACTGACTGTTTTTCTGGGTGGTGCTCCCCAAGGCCTTGAGCAGCGCTGGGCACTGAGCGCTTCTGTCTTTTGCAGATGTTCCCCCTTCCTCAGAAGGAATGCAGGGAGCCTGCCACCTGTCTGGGCTCGGCCTCCACCCAGGACATGGGCCGATACTGTCAGGGTGACGTGGAAGGAGAATGCTCCAGAAGAGCAGAGCTGAAGCTGCCGGAGCTCTGTGGAGTTGGTGATCCCATCGCCATGTTCTCCTCTGCCAGCTCCTGCCTGTCCTCCAGAGGCAGAGTCATCAAATGGTTCTGGGACTCGGCGGAGGAGAACTATTGGACCTACCACAGGGATGAGTATGACGAGGACAAGAACCCCAATGTGAGCAAAGCCCCTTCCCCGGGCCCAAGAGGGAACTGCGGGGCGGGTACCTTCCTTGACTGCTGGGCAGTACCCAGCTGGCACCTGTAGGGGAAAATCACGGTCCTCTGCCTCCAGGAGGGCTTGTGATGGAGGTCCTAGGGGCCCATAAGCAGGGGCCTATTATAGTGACCCCCCATTTATAATTAAGGGGACAGGGACTTTGAAGGAAGAGTTCAAGAGCTGTAGAATGATCCTGCGTGGATAGCCTGACAACCATTCACCTTGATTTTGTTTTCTTTTTGTGGGGCTGGGGTTAGGATCAAGCTCTCCCTCATGCCAGGCAAGTGTTCAACCCCCGAGCTGTCCCCACCCCCAACCCTTCAACTCTGGAGCTAGGACAGAGCTGGGTTCAGTGCAAGATGGTTTCGTTTCTTTCATTCTCTGCTCATCTCCAAAATCCGATAATTATATCTGCTGTAGAAGAGTGGAGACTAAATGGGATTTATGATGGGATTAGCCCAGGGCTTGCTCTGGGGTACAGGGAATAAATGTTGCTGCTATTATAGTGATATTATCTGCCCAATTATTATGTTGTTTTTCTTACTACTGTTAGTAATACCTTCACAGATCACAGCGATGCACAAATTACTCTTTAATAATCTTTATGTCTTCAGCATCCCCCAGGTACCAGCCGCTCTCCTAGGTGCTGGCAGTTTTAACAGTGAGCAAGAACAAAGTTTTTCTCTTCTATGCATTTATGTTCTGGGTGAGAGACAGCGGACAGACAAAAGCATCTCTATATAATATAAGGCTAAAATAGCTGTAGAGAAAAATAAAGCAGGTGAAGTGGATAGAGAATGGTGTTAATGTTGCTATTGAATAAAAGTGGCCACAGGAAGCTACTTTAATAAGGTGACATTTGGACAGAAACCAGAAAAAAAAAAAAAAGGGTGAGAGGTGGTATTAGCTATCAATTGCTGTAACAAATTCCTTCAAATCTCAGAAATTCAGGTAGGAAGAGTTTCAGTTTCTGGAATCCTGGTGCGTGCCTCACAGTCAAGATCTTCTGTGGAGTTGCCCTGAATCTGGGGCTGTGGTGACATCTCCCGGGGGAGGGACGGGGAGAGGGTGGGGAGGTGCCATTTGCAGGCTCACTCACCTGGTGACTGGAGGGCCTCACTTCCCTCCACAGGGGCTTTCCCACCAGCCCACTTCCTACCTGGCAGCTGCTTTTCCAGGGCAAAAGACCTGGGAGAATGAGGCCAGGTGTTCCCAAGACGAAGCCACAGACTCTGAATTACCCAATCTCAGAAATGGCATCCCATCACGTACGCATATTTTATTTTGTTCATCAGAAATGAGTCGCTAGGTCCAGCCCACATTCGAGGGTGTGAACAGCAGGAGGTGGGGATCCCTGGGAGGCACTGTAGAGGCTGCTCATCAATGGGAGTGAGCCATGTTGTACCTGGGGAGGAGCCCAGGGGGGAACCATGCTGGATGGTTCAAGGGACATAAAGGGACCATTGGTCTACTGAGAATCCAGACTGGAGGACTGTGAGGTTTGAAGGTCATGAGGTGGTGTGGTCATAGGTCCCATGGGTGTCACGGACCACTGTGAGCCTTCTCATGTTGGATCAAGTGGGCGAGGAGGTGTTGCAGGGAGATGCGATATGGCCTGATTTCTGTTTTTAAGAGATGCCTTGGACTGTGCATGAGGCTGGACGACAGGTGAGGGAGTGGGGAGGACAGGAAGTGGAGAAGCTGGTGGGTGATGGGGTTGGGCCAGGATCTCTGCAGTGGAGCTTGGCAGCTGGTGGACTGTGCGTGTATTTGGAAGGCAGAGCTGTCAGGGTTTGCAGGTGCATTGGCTGTTTGTCCGCCAGGGGGAGATCACAGCCTCTTAGGTGTCTTCATCTTGGCTCATTCCAGGTCTATGTTTCATCTTTCCTTCTTCCTTTCCTCCCTTTCGCTTCCCTTAATGCAGATATCAGTAGTCAGCTGGGGGGAGGGAGGTGCACGGCAGGGCGGAGGGTGGCCCTGTGTCTCTGGGGACTGTAAGGGAGAGCTTGGGCTAGGCCTCCCATCATTTCTCTCCTATGAGAATAAAGGCCTTCTGGGGTGGGGATAGGTGTTGTGTAAAGGAACACCTGTGGGGAACACCTGTGGGGGAGGCCCACAAAGGACAGACACAAACACATGGGGAAGGTGCAGACAGACAGAAGGGTGGCAGACAAAGGAAGCCTACCCCTCTCTGCCGTTGTCTCTAATTACCACAAAAGTTACATATTACCCACCACCAATGACTACACTTTAGCCAGTGTTCCTGTTAATCCCAAGTGCTGAGATAAGGTCCAGGTTAATGGGGACACAGAGCCTCTGTCTTCAGAGGATGTCACTGTGTAAACCAGGTGGTGCATCCGCATAAAATAGCTCAGTGGGGAATTACTGGGCATTGAGCTGAGAGGTGCTTAACCACTGAGCCACATCCCTGGCCCCTTTTGGTATTTTATTCAGAGACAGGGTCTCACTGAGTTGCTTAGGGCCTCTCTAAGTTGCTGAGGCTGGTTATGAACATGCGATCCACCTGCCTCCCATTCCCGAGGTGCTGGGATGACAGGTGTGTGTCACTGTATGTGCCGAGGGCTCATCCTTTTGACCTCCACCTGGTTTCTGATCCTGGAGAACATGGTTCTGTGTGTACATTCTTTCATCCTGTAAACATGTATGGATTCCTGCTAAGCAGCTGAGAGATACTGTAAGGTCCTGGGTGAGCATCTGCCTTTGGGAGTTCGCCTGCAGCAGGGGAGTAGAGCATGGACTTCTGTCCCCATGGCCTGGAGCAAAAAGTCAGCAGTGCTCTAGAGGGTGACAGATCAAGAGCCATGGAACCCAGAGAAGAAGAAGCCCTTCTAGGTGGGATTGCGGGGCAGGCTCCTGGAGGAGATGGCACTTGAGCAGAACTTAGAAATGGGAAGAGAGAGCCTGGGGTCAAGGGGGCAGGGATGGAGTGAGACCGGGAGGGGTGGCGGGAGGGCAGGGTGGCAGAGCTCCCGATTGCTGACCCTGTGGGCTCCTTCGCGGGCCTCCTCTGCCATGCTCACGTGGCCCCGTTCCTCTCCTCTCCAGGGCGTCGTTAACTTGGGCATCAGTGAGAACAAACTCTGCTTTGACCTGCTGTCCAGGCGGGTGAGTCCAGGGGATCCCTTCTTTGCAACACTTGTCCCTAAAGGACCTGCTGTGGGCTCTTGGCCTGGCCAGGGAGTCAGGGGACCCCAGTTGCCTTGGGAACCACTTTCTGGGTGATCTAGGCCCATCTCTTCCCTGAGATCCTCATTCTTCATCAGTTCAGGCTCTGCCCCTTTGGTCCCTCCTGCTGTGTTGGGTCCCTCACTCCAGGGGACTCAGTGCCCTGCTTTTTTTGTTTGTTTGTTTGTTTGTTTGTTTGTTTTTGCACCAGGGATTGAACCCAGGGTGCTTAACCACTGAGCCACATCCCCAGCCCTTTTTATATTTTATGTAGAGGCAAGGTCTCGCTGAGTTGCTTAGGGCCTTGATGAGTTGCTGAGGCTGGCCTTGAACTCTCGAGATCCTCACGCCTCAGCCTCCCAGTTACAGGCATGTGCCACATGCCTTTCGGGGGAAACCAAAGCCCTAATTTGTGACTTTGCCAATTTCCATGATCAATTTCAAGCTCCTGTGTGCCATCCCAGCACAGAAGGGTTGGAAGAGAGACATGGTGGCCCAAGCTCATACATGTTCCCACCGTATGGACCATAGAAGTCACTTTGAAAGTGGGGCGGCGGCACAGTGCAGGAAAGCAGGAAGTGACAATGTTCACATGCTCAATGCCTTACTTATAGAATCTTTGACTAGGTTTTAAGCTTAAATTAAATTAATTTTAAAAAATGACTGATTCCAGCATAGCTTGCAGCATTCCTGGAAATCTGGGAAGTTCCTGGATGTCATAATCCAGTTCCTTGAGCAGGGGGTCTCCAGTTGGAGCCTGGGTTTGTGGAGGCAGCAGTGCTTCCCCAGAGGACAGCTTTCCAAAGGAGAAAAATCCAAGCCCCAGGGGGTGGGCTGTAGGGAGGGTCTTCAAAGCCTGTTTTCCCTAAAGCCAGCTCTTCCTGAGACAGCTCATCACTGAAAAAAAAATAGAAGCCGAGTCACAAATGTAATTTGAAATTTTCTATTAAAAAGTTAAAAGAAAGCTTGGTAAAATGAATTTAATAATTTATTTCATTTACATGGTGTAACTAAGACATGACCATTTCACCATGTAATCAATAGAACGACTGTCAACATAGTTTACATACTTCCTCATAGTAAGTTTTCAAAATCCAGTGTCTCATTTAGACTCACCACGGACCAAGAGTTCAGAAGCCACAGTGGGCCATGGGGACATGTGGGACCAGCTCTGAGGGATGCCAGGAGGAGGGAAATGGCTGGACACGTGGCTGAAAAAGTTGGAGCCAAGACCGAGGTGACAGCACCCTGCTCCCTCTCCTGGCACTGTCTGTGCAAGCCACACCTTTTTTTTTT